AGTGATGTTCGAGCGAGAGTAATAGTAAAGGCTACTAGAAGGAGCCGACGGGGTCTGTTCTTATAAATAACTGTCTTGCACGAATTGTTTCCTGTCTGGGAAAGGGATTTTGAGCTGCAGTGTTGACAATCTCCCAAGCAAATGTGGCGCCTTCCTTCTTTAAAACTGTGTTCCTGCCAAACGTTTTTAAGGCTAAAAAAGGCTTAAATTACGTTAAAAATGGCTTATTTTTTTAGTTAGGAAATTTTTATTTTCCCGGCAAAAATTCCTAGAAAGTATTCCTTGGCCGAGTTTTTTTTATTTTCCTGAATTTCTCGCTAGCTGGCAATCAGTTATGACTTACAGCTGGTTGGGACTTAAGAGCAGATATAWWTTTCTCTCGGRAACCCGTTGRCTCCTCCTAAAAGGCCGGTTCAAAACTCTTCGCAAATAAAAAATAGTGCATATAATCTTGAATATCTATCTACGCTATTCTTATAATATCAAAGTCAAGTCAACCAAATAATTACAGCAATCATAAATTAATATTAATCATTAATATATTTTGATCCGAGACAAGGTGTATCCAAGACACTGTGGTTGATAATTTGCAAGATAAAACCCTGCAAGTGATTGGCGGACGATGCAAATCTATGCGGCAATGAAGTATTAATAAACGTCGAACATTTCCTGCACTGTTGCGGAAAAAGTACAAATATGTATATACAATAAAAATAAGGATATAGATATTTACAACAAGGAAAACATTTATCATTTAATTATCTATGAAATACCTTTATTCTCCATTTCGTAAACTTGATATTTTCACTAGTGAAAATAACACATTCGCCGGGTTTCTCTTTATATTGTGGAAGTAAGAAAAAAGCTAATTTACGACATAATTTGCTTTCATATACACTTATATGATAAATAGAATATTGCATGTTCGCTTGGAGTTACGGATTTTATCTTCGAGTGTTGAAAAGATCTCTCACGAGTGAGCGTAGCCCACTCCGCGCGCCCATGTAATATCCTCTATATATATTATTGTAAATGTCTCTACCCTTCTTTTTATTGTATATTATTTGTACAGCATATTATGCCACAAATATGTATATGTTTTAATTCAATATTTCATCATTATATATTATCTTTAGCAGCACAACACGAAGGTCTAGTTCTCAAGCCACTTTGCACGGATGATACGAAACCTTTCTGTGCAGCTGAAAAAAAGTGCTTACCAGATATGCTAACTTTCGTCATTCATCTATCTATCACGCAGTGATAGAAAAAAAAATTACGACATTTTCAATTAGAAATAGAGCAAATATATATTCATGTCGACAATATTAACTTAATATGAAACATACATACTAGGAAGTTCTTTGAGTATAATTCGAGTAGAAGAGCCGTAGATTCTTCCATCGAAGCTTAAATTTACAGCTCTTATATAAATCATACTTAAATTGAAATGATTCTCTTTTGCCTTTTAAATGAGTTCTACCTATAGTTATTTATTTTTATTTATTTTGACATACATAACATGTCGGTGGAAGAGTAAGACAAAGCACCAGTTTAAATATGTAATTTATTAAGGATGTTTCTGTACTTAGGCCTTCTTCAGAAAACTGAGTGTTTTGCACGCGCCAATCATTATAAACACTAAAAACTAGGCGACCAAAAGACACAGCAACAAAGAAACTAGGGAAACTCAACGAAACCTAAAAAATGCGCGCTCAGATATAGAGGATATTACGTGCCGCGCGGATTTTGTCTTCGAGTCAGCGTAGCGAACGAGTGAGATATTTTCGCATGAGAAGATAAAATTCGTATCTCCAATCGACCATGTATATTCTGTTTATCATATAATTATGTATGTAAGCAAATTATGTCATTTTTACTTCCAATATATAGCGCCTTGAATGTGGTATTTCCACTAGTAAAAATAACTTTTCGAAAGAGAGAAAAGTAGGTATTTCATAAATAATCATATGGAAAAATAACTTATTATTACAGTCAGTAATCTTTCCCGAGCAAATTTGAAGTCGCATATTGAGCATTCCTAATCTATTTTAGTTATTATGGAGGGGAAAAAAAGAAAATTGTCGTGGACAATTCATGACGTATTTAGCTGTGGGTTTTATTGCCCTACAAGCCACGAAAGCACGAGAACAGTTGCATTTCTTGGCAACATCTTGGCAAAGTTTTATTCTATCACTTGAAATTATGATTTTTTCATAGCAATATTTTTCAAAAAAATCGATTGCCTGACATTTATTGTTTTTCGTAACACTCCGTCAGGTAATCGTAAATTAAATCTCAAAGTGTCAATCTTGTGCATACAACCTTACTATTTTCGGACTTTGCTCCATTTCTCTTCTATATTGATTTTTCAAAAAATCAGCAACAAAAAATCGATTGCTTAACGTTTAGTTTTTTTGATCATTCCGTCCAGTTGCTTTCCGTTTAGAAAATCCTTTTAAAATTATAAATCAAACGCAAAGAAAGGATGTCACGTGCGCTTATCACATAAGACACAAACACGCAGATCTATGAAGTTTATTAAGCCCTCCTTGCATGATCAGTGACAGTCTCACTCAAAATTGCTCGTAGTATCAAATTGCTTTCAAATGGCCAAAGAACTTGTTTTGGATTTCAGGAAGTCTTCCGGCCAGCTGGCAGGATAATAATAATAATCTTAGAATCTTTGAGTTACTTAGTGTGCTAATGATTAATTTGAACGAATGTAATCCAAATTACTTTTTCTTTACGTTTTTAGTCAATTTGAAAAATTAATATCAAAATTCCAATCAAATCGAAAGCGGTTACCGTCCAATTTGAGAAATAGACTGATCTGTTTTTCGTTGTTATTTGGATGATTTCAAATGCTATTTAAGTCWAATCCAAATTTTGTTTCTTTCATACTTCTAATGTAATATAAAATTCCATAGAAATTATGATATTTAATTTTGGCTCATATTTCAAGATTATATAAAATATATCAGAAATTGTGATATCATGGCCAATATTTTCTTGGTAGAAACAAATATCAACGACGATATCCCATGAATTTCTGATATATTGTATATATACTTGGAATATGAGCATAATTTCTGCATATTGCTGCCTGAATTGTTTGAATTGAAGGTAATATACATGAGGCAAGTCAAACTTTGTAACTTATTTATAGCCACTTAGAGCGAAGTAAGAAATACATAGAAAACGGGGGTTAAAGTTGGTCAAAACTCGAGCATGTATATACAGGCGTTTTGCGAATTTCGCCACAAGGAACAAGACGAGATGCCGTGCACAAACCTTCGACAATCGTGAAAAACTATTGTCATTTTACGCCATTACGGGATGACATTATACCTATTAAAAACCGGGATCCACACTTGCTTCAATTCTCGGTGGTCGCTAATTTTTTTCGGTTGCTTGGGATTCCTGTGGTGCTATTCAAATGTTCGGTTTCCAAGTGCTTTGCGGTGGACAAGTGTGTGCGTGGGCGCGTGCAGGGGAACTAGGGAACTAGGAAGTGCCTGTTCACCCAATGAACCCCTCCACAACTACTTCACAGATAAAAATGCCATGTTGTCAAAGAGGGTAGGCAGTGGCCTATATACAAACAATTTGTATGGATAATTGTCAATTTTTCAATAACATTTTTAGTCGGACTAGCCGAAGGCGAGATCCGACTTTAAAATTACCTTTTAGTCTATCTGCGGTCATGTCGCGTTTGGACAACCGGAAGTTAAGAATTTAATAATTAACTATTGGGTTGGCTGTGTTATTACATGACCGGAAGCTCAAACGTATTGATGTACGAATATCGTTAATAATTATCATATGCTACTTGCGGTTTTATATGACAAAAAAACTATTCGTTTACAAATGTGGTATCTGTGATCTCATCGGAATGCATCAGTCTAGGTATCATAAGCACGCGCATGTGCAGATCGCTTGGTGCTTCGAGTAGTATGCTTACGAAACTAAATCAATGGCCTTTCTAGCGTTAGGCAGTCCTGTGTGGGCAAAGATTTCAAATTAGAACAAGAAGAAACATTTTTTATTAATAACAAAAAGGCGAGTTTATGATTTTATGGTATCATTTACTTTTGGGCCTGAGAGGTCAACGTTCACATAATCTACATACCAACGTTTGATTTTATCAGTGAAAGCAAGGACTACTTTAGACGTTCATTGCTGGTATTAATTACATGACCTTTTAGGTCAAGTTTATTTTAGTCTCAAGAGAGTTTGGATATTTTGAACTAGACGCTCTTATTAGACCGTGAGTTCGGCTATTTTGGAGAAAAATTAAGAAATATATATTTTAATCTAATTTTTATATTTTATGTAATATCCTGCTGTCTTTCTCAAATTTCATTTACATTCATAATATCATATGATTAGACAAAATATAACATCATAATCTTTTCACTCGTGTCTATCAATTTTCAAAAATAGCTAGTCCGACTTCACGCCCCAAGGGCGTCTAGTTTTTATTTAGAATTAAGAATATATACACTTAATAAGCCTCTTTCCCTTCAATGCGAGCGACCGCTGTTAAAGTAGACAACAAACTCACTTGAGCAGAGAACATAAGAAAGCACAAAAATGTTGACATTACAATAGCTCTCGGATTTTGAATTATCTCCAATTTAAGGCTAATAAGCTTTTATCACTACAAAACTACTACAAGACTTACAATTTAAGCCGCCGGCATGAAATACAGGCTTAGCCTTAAAACGGAGAAAATGCAGACGTTTCGCGCTATTGTCATGAGAACATTTTTTCGTGCTTTCTTTTGTTTTTGGTAAGGTCTCTGTGCATGAGAGACCGTTGTCAACTAAAACAGCGGTTGCTACTCGCTTTGAACGGGAAAAAGGTGTATTACAAAAAAATGTTGCATGTAGGATATCTTGTCACGGTTTTTCATGATTTTATAAGGGGATCAAACATACAACTTTGGTATTCAAAAATCGCTATTAGAAATGCGTCAGTTTAAATGTTTAAATGTCGTGTCGTGTATCTCTTTTTCTATTCTAACTCTCGTAGAATGTGACATTTGAATAGCGCCATCCCAGTCTCCTCAAATCAAGTACATGCTTCAAACTTGTCTTGTGAGCTTCGCAGATTAGCAGGTTGGGAAAAAGACTGAAGGAATCCAGGAAAGCGAGTGGAAAGGAACACTTTTAATTTCGAGATTTGACAGTATAATAAAAATATATTTATGAATAGCTCATTATTTGGCAACTGAGGACAGCTGGTCTCTGATTTTTCCCAAACCATCTAAAACAGTGTCGAGCTTTTCCTTCGTTAGTTCGACGTTTACACAATGTAGGGTAGGCATTGCTTCTTTGCATTTAGCATTTTCTTCAACCTTCAAGAAATTAAAAAATCTCAATGTTTCGAAATTTGTGAAGTTCATTTGGACTTTATAATCAATCTGTTTTTTGTTTTGTTTTTGTTTTTGTTTTTTTTCGATTCAGATTTTAGATAATTGGTATTTGGCTCTAACAAGTATTTTTTATTTATTGTTCTTAAGGATATCTGTTATGCTTGCATTATATTTTGCCGTTTTATGAGCGACCAGGCAAATGAACAAGGCCATTTAAACAACAACAACAAAAACAGCAACAACTACTACTACAAAAACAGCAACAACAGCAGCAACAACAGCAACAACTACTACTACAAAAACAGCAACAGCAACAGCAACAACAACAGCGACAACAATATGAACATCATCATCAACAACAACTACTACTACAAAAAACATCAACAACAATAACAACAGCTTCTACTACTACTACTACTACTACTACAAAAACAGCAACAACAGCAGCAACAACAATAACAACAACAGCAACAGCAACAACTACTACCACAAAAACAGCAACGACAGTAGCAGCAACAGCAACATCAACAAAGTAATATTACGAACAAATCTAGTACATAACAAAAGCCAAACAACAAATTACAGCATCATTAAGCACTTATGCAAAAAGCTTTGAAAGCAATTGAAAAGCGAGGGCAAACAAGCAATAAAGAAAGCAGGCATTCAAGACGACTTGTCTGAGAACAGGCAAACAATTATTAAGAATGACGTTAGCAACGATACAAGAAACAGGTAAATAAACAAATTTATCTTACTTTTAGTTGCATAATACACGTTGGAATAGACATGCGCGTTATAGCATCTGATGACGTCTTTACATCGACTCTCCAATCAAAGTCCAGCAGATGAGGGAGAGAGACTGGATACAAATCAAAGTAAGGATTAAAAAAAAAACATGAACGGTTAACGTTGAAACATGAACGTTGACGTCCTAGAAGTATAGCAGACAATACTTCAATTTGGTGGGACCTAGACATTAACTAGTGTGAGCTGTGTCGTTGTTTCTAAAGAAACAGTATTGTAAAAACATAAGTTTAACACCCTAAAAAAGTACAGTGTAGGTAAAAAAAATCCGTTTATCCTTCGTCTGAAACGTTAGTAAGTTGGACAATTTCACCTACTTTTTTACGGTGCTAAATTTAACTTTTACAAAACTGAGAACTTCAATTTGCCCGCTTGGGATCCTGTCGTATCCTCCGATCGGGGGGCTTGGTTCAGGTTGAGGAGCCTACTTTATTTCCTAACTAAGCCTTGTAATTCATGGAAGTGATCATTTGACTTCGCTTCACTTTGAGTAACAATCGAACGTGACACTCTCGCATTGTGTGACTAGCATATGATATACAGTCAACTCTCTCGTAAGCGACCAACTCGGGATCAGGAAAAAGTGGTCGCTTACGAGAGATGGTCGCTTACTAGAGTGGTCGTTCAAAGAGAGTTAACTGCAATGAAGGAATATGATCATACTAACCCTGATCGTTAATCGACGACGATCTCCAGGATTGTCTGAATAAGAAAACGAAGTTGAGAAAAAAAAAGAAAATGTATCAGAGTAATAACACTAAAAAATATAACCTAGTTTTCACTAGGACATAAGCATAAGACATCGACACAAGCATAACAATAAGCATACGACTCAAATATGACGAGGTTAGAGGTGGTATGGTCATCATTGCAAATCCATACAAATACTCAATTCCAAAGCCCCCTCCACCCCCTCCCCCTTTGAAATCATGCCATTGTAATGAAAGAAAATATTAATGCTACACTTGACTGTAAAGTTTCAAACATCTTACATTTTTTCAGCAATAATTCTTGAAAGCAGATCTCGTAAATTCTTGTGGAAACCATCTGAAAATTAGAAAAGGAAGGTGTAAATAAATTAAATGCAGTAAAAAAAATCATTTTTACAAATTAACATTAAAAACACAAAGATGAATGGGAATAAAACGAAATATAAAAAAAATAAATTTTTAATATACTTTTCCCCTTTTCTAGATGCCACTATACAATGTAGTCTAACATAATATACATAGACCATACTTCAATTTTATTATATCAATGTTGCATCTTTGAGTTTTACTATTTTCAAGTGCTGATCATAAAGTAACACAATTCTTGGACTATTATTCTCTGTTGTTTCTGAAGGCCCGTTTACACTTGCAATTTTTGCAGTCCGATTGTCTATCGCGGCCCTAAAATCGTACATGTAAACAGCCCTGCGATTGTTGCAGTAGAAATCGTCGCAAAGTTGCAGCTAAATTTCAAGTATGTTCGAAACTCAGGCGACGGTCGTGCGACAATTGCAAGTGTAAACGGCCCTTAAGAATATAATATACCTGGGAAAACCTTGGAGATTTCTTGTGGGTCAGCGGTAGAGTGATAAAGTGTCACCTGTACTAGTGTCACAATGCTGTTCATGAGCTGCAAACATCATAGAAAACACTGATTAATGATCGATCTTTTATCTCCTTTGGGCTTCCTTTATAACAGTAATCTTGGACGATAGGGACTAAAACCCCCCTTCCCTTTTAACTTCCTTGGCACTGCATTACCCAGGGAGTGGGGCAGGGGAATGGTTTTGATCAATGCACAGTTATGATACCTACCTCTTCTGCTTCACTGAGCTCAACTGACAATAATCCAGAGGCAGCCTTGACAACAGATGAAGGCACTGTTTGTATAAAATGATGTTTTATGTATGTTTAGTTTATTCACAAACACTAATCAAATCACTGTAATGGATACCCTCGGGACCGTATTTTAGTGTCCACAATAGCGAGAATCCGTAGTAACGAGAGTTACTTTCAGTCATTTCTTGGTATTTTCCATTGGGAGTTCAGTATTTTACTGTCCGCAATACTGAGGTTTCTGTTGTAGCGGTTTGTCTGTAAGGCGATCAAGTTGACTGTACTTAGTGCTTTATCTTATTTGATTTCCAAATTTGGCTACTAATGATTTTTTTAATGAATATGTATTCATGAACATTGCGACTTTGTATACTAAACAAATTATCATATTGTTATCAAATTATTATAATTATACTGTTCTCCTTAGTCGCAGAGAGCCATGATAACGAATATGGCATTCAATGCAGTCATGCTTTAGAGGAGCCTTCAAAAACCAATTGTGGTTTGTCTCCATTCATTTTGTTTTAAAATTGAATCTCACAATATCTCCATCCATAAAGCATAAAAAGATAATAAAGAGTAAGTTTTTGCAACCAGATCCTTCTCAGTTCTCTTTTTTTTGTAGTATTTGCTGTGAGCATGCATCTGCTGGCATGAGTACTGCTAGGTTAGGAAGCGATTCCAGCTCCTCTTGTGTCAGTGCTCCTGCTAGTAAATGCATACCCTGACCATTCACATCCATGTAACGGGCAACCTTTATGGATTAAACTTGTAGATGTAGAGTTTCCCAATGCAAAATCAAAGACCTGGTTGGAAACAAATGATTCTTTGATTTGATTGGTTCAAAAATTCCCATCATATTGTACGACCCAGATTCTTGGTCTCCTGGTATCGTTTCCATCCAGAGCCTTTGATTTTCTGTTTGAAAACTGAGAAGTTTTTTTTTTTTTTTTAGTTTTTTTCATCTTTTATGGCTTTATGAAAGTCGAAACATGTCTTTGAATTTAAAAGTGTTGTGTTATTTTTAAAAATTATTGCATCACTTGTGCTTTTACGCTCACTTGAAACTGAGAAGTAACTGCAAAAATGAATGGATACCACTTAACCATAGACCACTTTCATAAGTGCCTTCCATCATTTTTTTATACAATTTATTCTAATATTCAACACTTTCATATGGAAGAACTATTAGAAATAGGTATTCATGGCAAGTTTTGAAGCCATGTGACTATACTATGCTAATTAGTGTTGTCCATTATGAAAGTCATGCATGGCCGTTCAAAGACAGTTTGTTGACAAGCTTGTGATGAGCAATCTGACTTGAAAAAGTTTTAAACTAAATCTTAAAATTACCATTTGATGCCCGATACAAGAATCCATCCTCAATAAGATTTCGAACTATATCTTTTGATTTCGCCTGTGAAAAGGAAAATTTCACAAAGAATATAACACAACATGGCTTCATATCTGAGCTTTTAAGTCAGGAAGCAAAATCCTGTATCAATCAAATTCATTGAAAGCAGATTCAGTGACTTCAAATTGAATACAATTGTATACAAGTGTATAATTGCAATTCAATCGAACTCAGCTAAAGTGGAGTTTAATAGTCACATGCATGTGGTCTTGCAATGCACTATGCAGTATTCAGTGTTTTCTCAAGAATTTAAAATCGATCATTTTTGAATTGATTCTAAGTAAATCTGTCAAGTCCATTGATGTCTAATAAGTATTTTGATTTGAGCTAGTACATTACAACAGTAACGACGTGTCTATACCTTCTTTAAAACACCATCAAATCTAAATTAATATTAACTACATTAACTTAAACTTACAACACATAAACTTAAGATAAACTTTACACTTTTGAAAAGATCAACGAGGCAATGTCACTCAGTTTTCAACCAACAGTTGCAATTACTTCAATAAATAGAAATTTCAGTTGAACAGAAAGAGTGTATAAGCTTACGATTGCATTGGCTTGATAACAACGAGTGTACAAAAAGTAAAACCGATGAAAATTTGTGCCTGTCACATGACCTTATGAGCAAAATCGTTGCAAAGGTGCAAAAAATATCAAAATTACAATTGCTTTTACCTTAAAATACCCTCTGGTTTTTATGCATAGTATGTACTAATATAAACAGCTGGGGAATTAAGCTAAATATGAATATTTTTACCTTTAGTAAGAGATTTAGAGGAGTAGCAACACTTTCTTCCAAAACATCCGCCATTTTCAATCCTATTATATATTATTGGGTACCCTGTGTTACTCTTCCCCAGTCTCCCGCATAAATCAATTTCCAATATGGCGGCTTAATGTGTTGACAGATTTTCTTTTGGTGTCAGCTGGAAAAACTCGTTAAATGTGTGATTGTGTAAATAATGAATCATTTGGTTCCGCTCCGTCACATTCGCTGTTCTTTATTTAAGCAATCGGTATTATTTTCTTGGAGAAATATCAAGAAATTTCGTCAATTCACCATGGCGAATGAAGAAAACCTCGACCAAACACAAGTCAAGCTTCTTCAAGAGAAGTGTATTATTGTTGATGAAAACGATAAAGTTCTTGGAAGTGCCACTAAAAAAGATTGTCATTTGAACAAGAATATCATCGAGTCAGGACTACTCCATAGAGCATTTAGCGTCTTTCTTTTCAACACGGAAAACAAGTTGCTTCTGCAACAGAGAGCGGACACAAAAATAACTTTCCCAGGTTGTTTTACGAATACATGTTGCAGCCATCCCTTGTTTACAGAAAACGAGCTTGAAGACAAAGATGTTATCGGTGTGAGAAGAGCAGCTCAGCGCCGATTAGAGTACGAGCTTGGAATAAAGCCCTCAGAAATTCCACTTGACCAAATAAGGTTTCTTACTCGAATTCATTACAAGGCAACTTCGAACGACAAATGGGGTGAGCACGAAGTCGATTACTGCCTTGTAGTACATAAGGACGTCACCTTAGACCCCAATCTGAATGAGGTTCAGAAATGGGACTTTGTAACTCCAGTTGAGCTAAAGAAGCTGTTGTCTGAAGCTGAAAACAAAGAAAGTGGCTTGCGAGTCACACCATGGTTCAAGCTCATCGCTCAGCGCTACTTGTTTGAATGGTGGGAAAATCTGAGTGATTTGAAAGCTTTTGAAGATTACAATACAATCCATAGAATGTAATGGATGACTTAAAGCTTGACGATGAATGATGGGTAATCAGGACAAGATGCAAAAAACGTATCTCTTTCCTCATCACCTTTTAGTATTAATCTTGTCCTGATTACCCTTGATTCATCGTCAAGCGTGAAGTCTATCAAAACCTACCTTGATGATGTCCCTAAGAATTTTGCTTATAATTGTACCTAACCTTTTTTCTGAGATGTAAAAATTCAAGCACAGGTATTCCAAGCTAGGTGAGACGGGGATTAGGACATTGAGGAATAACAGCTATGAATCACTCAAATACCTAGCTTGGGATACCTGTGGTTCAACCTCAGAGCCTCTCCATTTGATTTTCTCTGTTCTTAAAATTTCGATGCAATTAGGAATAGCTTTGTTTCTCTTATAGTCAAAGCATTAGGATTAACCAATCAAGTGACATATAGATTTGAGGCTAAGCCTGCTTTAACTGGAATTTTGACAATAGTCAATAGTCATTAATTATATACATTTAAATACAAATAATATTCATTTATTAACTGTAAGGTGTGCATACTCTATACAGTTAATCCCATCAAAGTTGTTCAGATTGTAAAGACCTAGACAACAACAAAGTCATTTGCTTACATGTATATCATGCTTTATTTTTATTTTTTTCAAAAAATATTCAAGATTACAAATTACAAAACTACTTTGAAATCTTACAGTCATGTATATCATGTTTTTAATTGTTTTTTTCAAAAATATTCAACATGAAAAATTACAAAACTACTTTGAAATGTCCATAACATTTAATTTGCTACCTATCGAAAGTTTAGAATTACAAAATTTTTTTGGTGGGGGAATTTTGAAAACCTTTTTTTGCAAATGAAGTTGTTGTCTTTATGTCTTTACAATTGAACGAAACAACATTAATGAGATTGGCTGTATAAAGACATTTAATTAAAATAGGTATACAGGCTTCTAATGTAGATTCTAGGTGTAGGGATGTAGGGAAGTCTGACAATAGGCGGATCTTTGTTTACAAAATTTTGCTAATTAGCATAAAGTTTAGATTAAAGAAAACTGTAAAATAAGTTTATAATGTAAAAGAGCTTATTAAGAACTATAAACTACGAAAGTTTGAGGACATTACATAGAATAGTTTATGAGATATTAGCGTTCAAAGATGCTGAGTGGCAAAAGTGCTAATTAGCTCATATAATCTCTCTAAAAWTTGGAGTTTTTAAAACCGTTTTACGCAAAAAGTATTTCACATGAGAAGCTCAAAATTACGTGGAAAGCTTATTGTGTCATGTTGTTTCAATATTCAGTGCTGATTTACTGTTAGTTAGGTTAAAACGTTATATCCTTATGCTAATGATATGTTAATGAACCGAAATGTAAACAAATTATTCGCCTATATTCTATGTACTGATGGAAAAACTAATTAAAAACTTTTTGTGTGTATTTTACTAAAAGTATTTTAGATTCTTTAATTTATAAGGGTGGGGTTTAAAGCATGATCAGTGACTAATCCAAGGTTAATTCTATATTTCTTGTAGTTTGTGGCTTAAGACCCTAAGACTTTCACAATCATAAAGATGGCAAAATTGAAAAAAAGGCCGACACCTTGCCATGCGCAATAGTTATTAATGATCGAATAACCGGAAGTAAATGTACCGGAAGATACTTTTTTGAAGACTTTCAGAATCATAAATTAGATGGCAGAATTGAAAACAAGGGCAAACACCTTGCCATGCGCAATAGTTATTAATGATCGAATAACCGGAAGTAAAAACGAATAGCTTTGGTTTTTAAAAAAACGTCACACAATTTGTGTGTTAAATTCACCATACATAAGTGGTATATCCCAATTGCTTCATATCCTATCTATCCACCGTTAAACTACTGAAATTACACTCATTATTGACATTTCACGTGAAAACTGGACAATAGCAGCCTCAAATTAAAAGCGTCTCAGTGAAACTGCAAAACAAACAAGACGGCTATTGATGGACCAGCATTTTATTGTTCTAAAAAATTCTAATACATGCGGGAATATATAGCCTCTCGTTGCTAGGATATAAAACAATAGAGTAAACAACCAATTTACGCATAGACTCGAGTGATTCTAGCCTGTACTGGTAACAGTTTAGGAATAGTGATAAGCCACATTTTTAAATACAAAGCATGATTGGATCTTACTTTCCCCAGAAGAATACTAAAACATTTTATGTTTTTTTCAAAATTTTACAATAAGCATATGAATCATTTCTGAAAAGAAATTGAAAAGAAGTGAAAAAACGAGGAATAGTCTGCCTATACTTCAGGTTCGAATTCTCTTTTGTGCAAGCTTAGACTCAATCTAGCATAAATTTTTATTGGATTCTTACATGCTTTTGAGGTTGAGGCTGCACAAATAATCCAAAATAAGATCTCGAAACTGGAATATTAACCAGCTTCTATATCGGTGTTCGACTGTTCTGTTCGATTCCGCGATCTCAATTTTTGACAGCAGTACATAATAAGAAGGTCAAGGAACTCCATGATTGTCAAGACACTACATCCAAGAAACAAACCAAGATTGCCACCAAGATCAGCTGGAATGGAAGAAGAACAGAGCAGTCAACGTGCTATCTCAGTTGGGAAACGCATATATCATCAGAGTTTGAACACTGAAGTACAAGTATCAATGCTCATTTACACGTCATTTGATCTTTGAAATTCCCTGTGACTTGTATTAATCACAGATAGACTGATTCCATAAGTCGGCACCAGTTCCCTCTCTGTCGATTTTTTTTTTTATTTTGAGCGGCAAACCGAAACATCGAGGAGCGATTTTTGGAGAAAAAAAAAGCAATCCGTTATGTTTTGTTCCAAACAAATTCTACAATGCATTGCAAGTTTGGCACAATTAAACAATTTGAGAATCCGAAAATGTGCTCGCATATAGTGCAAAAATGTCCTAACGATCATATGGATAGAGTCTAACGCAAGTCAACTTACATCCAAAGTCGTTGATATCGTAGAACGGTTTCTCGATACTAACTTCTGTATTCAGTTCCTCAAAGTAAGCAACCACCGTCATAAATCGTGCCCTAAAAAAACGAAATTAATTGTTGATTGCAGATCAAGAGGGCCCATCAAAGGGATCCACCAAAATGTTCCCCCTTTTAAAACTCACGGAGGTTAAAATACATATTCTAAGTTGGAATGGATACTGTGAAAGGAATTGAGAGTTTGAGCAAAACAGATAGGATTGTATGATTTTTAATCGGATCTTGACCAATTATATAACGTGCCACTTTCTTTTAATTAAATTTGCTCTTTCGTTGCTGCTTCGGTATATCAGCTTTAACGCCCGGTTGCTGCCCAGTCATCTGGTCATGAATACTAAAACACTTTTTTCCATGCCTGTAGATATTCTGATTGACTGAACTAAACAGATCTAATAATGCTCACCTAAACTCAGAGAAGCGCAGGTTTAGAGCTCGAGTCTCATTGGCATACATTGCGAATAGCACCTGGAGACTCCTTTTTTATCTGGACTAAACTGACTACATATCAGACGCTGCGTTTCCCATGACCAAAGACTCACCTAATTTCCCATAAAGCAAGGTTTAGGTTTTGAGTATCATTAGCATACATCTCCATGAACGACCTTGAAGGAAAGTATGCTAAGCTCTGAACAGTGGTATATGTTATTTCTTTGCATGCGATGGGACAGCCACAGTTGTTAGGTCTTACTTTCGCCAGTTCATCTTTGTAGACATTATAATACAAGTATTATCGATTATATGATATTACAAACAAACAAGGCCTACTCAGGGCCAGAAAGTTGCCTTAAGCAGCCTTACAAGGTGCCTTAATACGACCTAAGTCGGGAATTGACCCCCACACCTAATTATCATCCAAAATTAAGTTGAGGCGACTACTTAAGGCGACTTTCTGAGTTTTTTCTTTAGTGTTTCGTCCAGATGAAGCTGTTCTTACGTCATACGCAAGTGGTCTATAAAGGTCTGTTACCTTTTGGGAAAAGCATTGTATGCATTGTCTAAACCAACCTCTACTTTATTAAAACATTCATATAGCCTTTTCTTATTCATTTGGTAAATATATCACCCTGTTTCTGTTCTCCCAATTAATAAGACAGCAGGATGTGTCTTGTTGAAGAAAAGTCAAGAACGAGTAGTGGCAATAAGTAAAGTTTACCTGCAGAGGAATCGTTTCGAATTTCACTCGGGCTACAATATCCAATGTGGTGAAATCCTAGAAGAAAGAACTTCATCATATAATTATCTATGAAATACCTATATTTCTCCATTTCCTAAAATTGATATTTTCACTAGTGAAAACTTTTCACTAGTGAAAATAACACATTCGAGGTTTCTATATATAATGCAAGTAAAAAAGGGTATTTTACGACATAATTTGCTTTCATATAAAATTATATGATAAATAGAATATTACATGTTCGCTTGAGGATACGAATTTTATCTTCTCGTGTTGAAAACCTTTCGCTACGCTCACTCGTGAGACATCTTTCCAACACTCGAAGATAAAATTCGTATCTCCGCGCTCCCATGTAATATCCTCTCTATATATAATTTAATAAGAAGAGTCAAAGACATATCATAGAGAAACATAAAGAAATCTAAGTACTTCTGCTGATCACATAATTTTACTGCTCAGCCTGTTTGCATCAGACGGATATTAACAGCAAGAACCTTCCCATCCTCTTTCGGAAAAAAAATGAACCGACAATAGGTGCTAACTCAAGTAACAGGGCCATTTTTTCAAATAAAATAGCCTGTATTCTATAGCTTGTCTTGATATGGGCCTGTAAATATGAGTTCTTTGTACTAAATGTACTAGAAGTTTCTATATAGAGACAAAAACCTTGAAGAAGACCCCAATAACCAAAAGAATCTGCAGTCACACAAAACAAACTAAACGCTGGCGATTTTTGCGGCGATTTTTGCTGCAATTGTTCTGGCGATTAAAAAATAAATAAATTTTGTCTTATCTTTTCTGAGCAGACGTTTAGCTAGTTCATTCCAGCGTACTGACTAAAAGTCTGCAAGTTAGTTCTTTAGCACTATTCTCTAAAATCAAAATGACCACAAAAATCGTCAAAAAAAATCGCCAGTGTAAAAGGGAATTTATATTTCGACGAGGTTACGGAATATTATGTCATAATGTTACCTGGCAGGTTGGGCATGCCCAAGATCTTGCAGCCCCGTGATTTAATCATTGCACGCGTAAAGCATTCTATCATGCATCTTCTTTGAGTGTATACATTAGACGTTACGAGTTTTTTACTTCCACAGGCTGACCTGAAAGGAGGTGGTAGACGCTTAACCTAAAACAAAAAACAAAACAAAAAAAAAAACAAACAGACATCGTATCTTATTATTGGCTTAAACTTCAGTGCATGAAATTACATATGGAATGCACGTTTTAAGTGCAACACACTCCAGAAACATGCTCATACTCCAATGTCCAGTTATACTTTACCTAACCAAAAACCAAGCAACCTCTTTTGTTTTATTGATATCACGAGAAAATGCATGGAATTTAAGAAGAAAGACAATAAAATTGATTTCAAATCTCACACGTTTTATGCTCACAATTAGGAATATGTGCACAAATGAGTACAGAACAATGAACACAGAGCATTGGAGAATTCGAGAACAAAAAAATGTTGTGCAAAAGAGCTTGGTTTGCTTCGGTACTAATTAGTGATAACGAGGGAACAAGCTCCAGAGTAAATGTGTTGCGTGTTGAGGAGGCAAGCTCCCTCGTGTGTATTGCCCTTTAAAAGATTGACATTTACCTGTTTTCGCGTGATTTTGATTGAAGTTGTGAAACCTGGCATGATGTCATTCCCAGAATTCTCCACCCACGGAATTTCTGTTTGGTGGTGAACGGCTACTTTAACACCAGTTGACCGGTAGCTTTCATATCCATAATATTCTTTGTTGTCTATATCAAGCAGCAAGGTAAGTCCAAGGTCTTTTTGGTTTGATGTTGAAGAAACCAGTTGTTCGCCGTTGTCTCCTAAGTTGAATGTGTGACACAGGCCAAACTGAGATAATAATTAAATAGTTTTTATGCATTTACTTTTCAATTCATTTTTATCAACAATCATTGATAATTCATAACACAGCAGAAAACCACTGCAATGACCGAAGCTTTGTAGGAGCAAGAAATTTGTACTTAAGAGTGGATGCCGGTAAGAATCAAACATTTTCAAAAAATCGTGCCAACTCTTGAAAAATCGATTTCGCTCATACTCTGAACTTAGGTACCCTATTATATAAGATAAACAACCATGTATTTGGTTTTTGAAAATAACGTTTTATTTATGAGTAAATTGAATTTTCGTGGAACGATGTAAATATGCTAATTTTCGAGCTATGAAATGGCGATAAACTGATGGCCTCGTTTGGTTAATGCATCAATGTTTTATGCTTAAAACATTTATAAGATAAAAATATCATCCATTTTCTTTCATTTGGGCGAGTTTTAGACTTGTGGCTTATATCTAAAATTTCTGGCGAATTTTTATAAATGACACCTGTTTTTGATAGTTAAAACTATTATCAAAATAGCCGTCGATTTGACAAAGACCGATATGATCAAATCAAATGATCTTTGCAGGATAAAATGCCAAGGAAGAGTTCTTTCGATCTATGTAAAAATATCGTTGGGTAAATGTGTTTATGCTTCGCTAGAACCGACCAAAGTTACCGAAATATTCATATTTTCAACAGGTGTGAAACCAACAAGTTGATAAACACGTCAACAAAATAGATCGCTTTATGTTGTGTTTCATACCCAAGAGCAAGCATAAACTAAACTAAACATTTACCTTGTGTTTATCTCGAGAATTTTTGTGTTTTGAGACGTTCTAACCACTTTTAATCAGGCCATACTTGATCTTCTGTTGGGCTTCCTGTGGTTAATTAGGCGCCCTAAGTGATGCTATTTTTAACTCTTATCGTAAAACTTTATTTGTTGTTTATCTGTTTTATTAAGAGATTTTCATAGAACTTTGCATTCGCTAAAATTTTGTTTTTGTACATACTAAAAAGGAATGATTTCAGCAAAACAAAAAGAATTGTAGCAATTCAAAATTTGATTGGCACTTATGAGTAATTGATTTCCTTTATGCCCGCGCGAACGGCCGCCGAACTGCGTTTTAGAAAATTTGTTTAGAACACTGGGTTTACAACTGGGGTTACAACACTGGTTAGTTCAAAGCCCGATAAGGGTTAACTCTTAGAAAA